TCATATAGTCTTGATTAGAAGGCTTCTTTGAATTTCACTCTGGCTTTTTTATTTTAAAATATCTCCTTCCCAGATGTAAGCCTGAACCACCCTTCAGAATCTTCTTGCTGTGGAGCTGTTTTTGAGAGTTCTACTTTCCCAAGGGAAAGACAGACAAGAAAATGCAAGTCGCCTCCCGCAGCAAATCCCTCTTGTCTTGTAGAGTCTCAGAAAGGTGAATTGGCTGTCGTCATCAGGTCTTTGTCGTCTGGCAAAGTGTGAAAGGGGTGAAGCAGAAAGGCAGACCAGAGCACCTGTGGCCATTATGAAAGCAAAGCCACCTCCCAGGCCTGCATGCTTTCCACTCTGAATACTCAGCACCTGCCGGTTGAGGCTGAAAACCCAGCTACAGAGGACCCAGATTGGCTCCGAGCAGTTGACTGAGGAATTAGGAGGATTTTGTAATAAGCCCATCCATTCTGTTGCATTCAAGTATCTTCCAACTCTGTGATAACTTCACTTTAACACTGTGTGCCTGCCTGGAAGGAGAGGAAAGCTTGTACAGAAAAGGAAGAGCCAGGGACCCAGACACCCAACAGGGCTCCAAAGCTGTCACTTGTCAGCTGAAACAGACCTTGTCCAATCATAGAAGCTCCCTGAGTCTCAACTACCACATATCTACAGGTTCTCGTCAGGACCCCCGAAGACCAGGTTTTGTTTATGAATTTTTAATTATGTGTCTGTTGGGGGTATGCACAGACAAGTGCAAGTGCACAGGCCAGAAGAGGGCATCCGGTCCCCATGGAGCTGGAGTTATAAGTAGTTATCAGCTGCCTGATGTAGCTGTGTTCTGTAAGAGCAGCACACATCCCTAACTGCTGAGCCATCTCTCCAGCCCAGACAACAGGTGTTTGAGCCATGAGCTCAAAGTCAATTGCTTATTTTACAGCCAATTGTGAGAAAAAGAAAAGCAAGACTTGGTGATGGCACCACTCATCTGGATTTTCTCTATTTTGTGGAGATTGGAGTTTCCCAGTCCTCCTAACCTGGCCCTTCAACTTACAGTGATTCCCAGAGATACATCTTTATGTCCTAGTAGGAGGAGCTTCCTTGGGACCCTCGTGGATTTAATGTGGGGACAGGTCTGCACTGGGGGCAAGATGCTACCTCGTGAACACCTAGAGCCATCACAGAAGACTCACTTAATGTTATTGGCACCTCTTGGAAGGTCATCTCTCATCTTAAGTTATTCCCCACCCCCTTTAGGAGATACAGAGATGACTCCCCAATGAACAGCACTTACTGCTCTTCCAGAGGACCCACATCAGGCATCTCACAACCACCTTTAATTCCAGTTCCAGGGCGTCTGACACCCTCTTCTGGCTTCCTTGGGTACTTGCATGCACATGGTGCATATAAACCCAGGCACACACACACACACACACACACACACACACACACGTTAAGAATGAGGTAAATATTTTTAAAAGTTGTTCTCTTTGTGTACACAATCATCACATATAAAAACCAATGTAAGGGGCTGGAGAGATGGCTCAGCGGTTAAGAGCACTGACGGCTCTTCCAGAGGTCCTGAGTTCAATTCCCAGCAACCACATGGTGGCTCACAACCATCCATTATGAGATCTGGTGCCCTCTTCTGGTGTGCAGGTCAGATATACATGGAAGCAGAATGTTGTATACATAATAAATAAATAAAATCTTTTAAAAAACCAATATAAAATTCTGCTGCTAAAATGTTGAATCAGTAAATGTATAAAATTACAAAGTCATATTTTCACTATGTAAAAATTGTATACATATAAAAACTGAGAAAATAACTGTAGTGTTTGTTTTGGAAAATAGAAAATAGATTTTTCTGTTTTCCTATATTCTTCTAAGACCTTGAAAGGGCTTATATTGGAAAAAGTCCAATTTGAAACATTTTAATGGTCCAAATGGAAAATCCATTTATGTATGTTTGTGAAAATTGCATTTAACAAAGTCATAAAAGTTAATAAAGATATTATCAAGAAGTTCAAAATAGATTATAAAGATAATAATAACAACACTTATAAGAATAATAATAAGAAATTAAGATGTTTAATAAAGATTCCAAACCTGAGTCATTCAAGAGTGCATTACAGTTTAACTATATTAACAAAACTTTTCTTACACAATGAAGACATCTCACAGCTTCCTTCACACCTTAACAACACAACACAGGGCCTGGAGAGGTGTGGCCTCTCCAGTTAAGAGCACTGGCTGCTGTGACCCAGGTTTGGTTCCCAACATTGTTGTCTGTAACTCTATTTCCAGAGGATCTGACACCCTCTTCTGGCCTCTGTGAGCACTGCAGGTCTGTGATGCATAGACACACAGGCAGGCAAAATACTGGTATCCATAAAAACAAATCTTGAAGAATGTGTTAATGGTTTAAAATATTGCAGTTGCCACTAGTAAGTGTATATAACACAGATATATTTCCATCCCTTCCCCTATAGATAGACTCTCACTCTGTAGTCCACACCAGCTGGAACTCACTGTAAGCCTCAGCTAGATTAAAACTCACAACAGTCCTCATGTCCCGGCCCCCCAGTATGCAGATTACAGATATAAGCCACCACTGTTAGCTTAGGCATAAAAGCATTTTTTTTTTGGTTTTTCGAGACAGGGTTTCTCTGTGGCTTTGGAGTCTGTCCTGGAACTAGCTCTTATAGACCAGGCTGGTCTCGAACTCACAGAGATTCCCGAGTGCTGGGATTAAAGGCGTGCGCCACCACCGCCTGGCTCCATAAAAGCATTTTCTACAGTGGCACTACCCCACACTGAGTTCCAAGGGAAGGTTTGCCTCTAAGAAGTCTTGAATGTCACCCCAGAATAGCTTCAATGGTCAGACACACATGGTAAACTCTAAAAAACACTCAACAGACCCATCCTTGTAACTTTGCAGAGTTCCAGAGAAATTACATGTCATGGTCAGTCTGTAGGACAGGTTGCAATATGTAGCCTCTGCTCAAAGTATTTAGAAGTCTTCACCCTACAAAGGAGACTAGTGTAGGGGCCCAGGGTCACGGGCATGCAGAGGCTACTTCCATCTTTTCAGGTTTCTGTCTCGGGCTGTGAAGCAGAGAGCTTTTCTATCTGTTGTAACAAAGGGAGTATTTCATGAATTTGAAACGCATGCACAGAGCCCAGTAAACCATTTCAACCAGTCACGTTTCACAGAACCCAAGCCTAGTTCCCACCCTTGGGCTGAGTCTCATCCTGAGCCATTCCCTTGCAGAACTGAGGCACCAAAAAGACCAGAAAGAACTTTTGAGCTTCATGGAAGGTTCCAGGCTTGGCCCTCCTTTATAAGGTGGCTTAGAAATGACATGAAACTCTGTAACACCCCTTGCACCCCCCCACATGCACACCCTTTGCTGGCATGCGAAACGTGCTTAGAAAGGGGAGGGAAATCCTGAGCCACAAAACCCACATTCCTTTTAAAGGCTGTCTGTGTACACACCTTGGACCTTTGGCTCCATCTCCCTGGGGAACAAGGGATTTGGAGGCCTTGTTGGGGGGGGGCGTTGCTGTGATGGATCTTCCACATTCCCACTCTGTGAGTTTCCCATTGTGGGAGTTTGTTCAGCTTTTGCCCTTTGGGGGCTCTGTTTCTTTATCTTCAAAACTGGGCTAGTGAGCCCCAAGTCTGGGATAGCTTCATAGAATTATAGAGCAAAATGGTCCCCCTTATCCCTGGTTTAGCCAGTCTTTGCCATCTCACCAAACATAGCATCTGTTCATCGTAAAAACCCACAAAATGACAAATGTAATAAAATTTCAGGTAGCTAATGTTCACATGAAGAGTTCTTATAAAAAAAATAAGCCAGGCTTGATGCTCAAGCCTGTAATCCCAGCGACTGGTGGGGCTGAGGCACAATGATTGCAGGTTCAAGGCCAGCCTGGGCAACTTAGTGAGACCCTGTCTCGATATAAAACATGCAAAAGGACTGGTTATATAGCTCAGTGGTAGAGTGCTTGTACAATGTATATGAGACCCTGGGTTCAACTCTCTTATCATGAAAATAAATAAATAATAAGATTACATCAATTGGCAAAGGTCAAGAGTGTACCTTCATACAAGAAACAATATAAAAGGCCAATAAATGTATTTTGGGGCAAATTTTGGGACTGAACCCTGCCTGGTGCATGTTAGGGGAGCACTCTATTGCTGAGCCACACTCTCAGCCCTATGCTTTTATGTCTCTGCTCATCTGAGGGTCGTTAGACCCTCTCTGGATAGTATTCTTTAACATGGATGATAAAGCTTGACATCACTATGCTGTATTCTGAGACGAGTGCTCAGGCTTGCGAAAATGCCAGAGGTCCTGGACAAAGAACTCTCGCCTGTAGGAATGTGGTTCAAACCATGGCGTCCTTACATGTAACGATGTGCTACTAAAACAGATGTGGTAGTTCAGAATGCAGAGCTATTGGAACTCATACATTGAATATATAATGTAAATTAGGGGAGCCAGCTTTTGGAGCTAATTGGCTTTTTCTGCCAAACGTAAACATATGTATTGACTGTGACTTAGCAGTTGTATTCCTAAGCATGTGGTTAATACATTCACCAAAAGACATCAAAGGAGTGTATATGCCAGCTAAAATGGCCCAAATCTGGAAAGAGCCCACATCCTCGTCAACAGTAGACTTAATAAAGAAACTGTGATGTATTTATACAGAGGGATGCTATATATGGCAATGAAAGTAAATGAGTATATTAACATGAATCAACCTCGTTCATCTACTGCTGAATGAAAGAATATAGACATAAAAGCAGGCCCAGCAAGTGGTCCTAGCTCACATGGCCCAGTGAGCTGAATTTAATCCTGGAACCCACTAAAAGATGGGAGCAGAGAATGGGCTCCACAAAAATCATCTTATGTCCTCCACATGCATGCCATGGCAAGCACACACACACACACACACACACACACACACTCACTCACACTCACACACACCTAAACACGCACACTCACACACATCTACACACACACACTCACACATACCTACACACCTAAACACACACATACACCTACACACATGTATATACACATGCACAATACTAACAAACTTAAAAACCCACACCTGTTATAACGCTCCTCTATATAATGTTCCAATAACAGGAAAAAACAGAAATTAGAAGTTACGCCTGGGTTACTTTGGGGGGAATACCATACATAAGTAGGAGACAGTCCGGAGCAGGGTCTGAGGCACTTGAGACCTTGGTGCTGGCTAGGAAAGTAGAGTCGGTGTGCAACCATGCTGGGGGCTTCACTCATTTGGCCTGGCACATTTCCATTTATGCCCTGCTTCTGCCAAAACTGTAAAAATGACATGGAAGAAACATTTTAATGACATGGGGAGACAAGCTGTCGTGTTATAGAATGTAGGTTGATGTACGGAGTGTGTGGACAGAACGCCTGCAGTTTTCCTGTGAGGGAGAGCCTCATATGCGTATGCACAACATATTTATGCGTAATATAATTGTGTGGAACACCCATATGCACAATGTCTTCCTGCATAATATCTTTAAGATAATCTATAAGTCAATGAAAAAGTGACTGATTCAGAGAGTAGGTGAGGCAGGGAGAATTTTTAGTTCATTATTTTCATATCACATGA